CTTCAAGCCATGACACCTAGGGGCTTGATAGTTAGAATAGGGTCTCTTTGGGGTATACTCTACTATAATCAGAACAAGGAGCCCCACCAAAAAAAACAGTGTAGGCAATTCTTAGCGCCCCTCTATTACGCCAGAGCTCCAAGAACTCCCAACCCTAAAGACAAAATAAAAAGAGAACAGCAAGTCACTTGCGTTTCTTCGGATAGTCGCTGTTCGCCAGCTCATCGGGCACCTCTTCTTGTCGTACATGGTACTTTCCGAACATTAGGGTACCATATTTTGCGGTCCTTATAATAAGGATCCTACTATTTAGGGTACTATATTAGGGTCCCCTATTTTGGGAACCATATCTAGCCTAAGCCCTATCCTAAACCCTGTGACCGTTTAAGCCCTAGTATGTGCCGAGAAAACCAGGAGCCCCTAATGTACGGGGCCTTCAAAATTGGAATAGGGCTTTGGGGTTCCTTCCAAACTCTAAACCCAAAACCCTCCTTTTGAAGGGTTCCAAACACCTACTGTGGAGAAGAACTTGAAGCTGATCCCCCAAACCTTAGGAGGGTTAGGGTTTAGGGTGCTCAACACCTGACAGGTAGCCTTGTGGCACCTCCTGGAAGAGGCCTTATGGTACCATTCGTGTTGTAGTGTACCCTTGATGGGTCTAAGTTGAAGAGCCCAAGGCTCCGTTGACATGCCCGACTAAAGCTGCAAAGTGAACCCCCCACCCCCAAAAAAGCCCTAAACCCGAAAAGCCCTTCATCCCTAAACCTGAAGCAGACGCAGCTAAACCCTAAACCCTAAACCCCTAAACCTTAAACCCTAAACCCCTAAACCTTATAAACCCTAAATTCTGAATCAAATTTTGTGGCGGTTCAGACCTCGGGAAGCTCAGGGGGCAGAGAAAGTTCTGAAAGTTGATCTGCGAGGCTCCGATGGTTTAGAATTTAGAATTTGTGTTTCTGAAAGGGGTCCTCCAAGGGCTCTATTCAGGGGAGCTCAGGGGTTTAGGGTTTGGGAGTAACCATAAATAGAAAGTACAAATCTGAAGCACCAAGACAGAAGTTGTATCTTGGGCGGTTCGTGTTGCTTGGCGGATTTTGGTAGCATGCACGCGTCTCATGGAGCGGCGGCCGGCTTAAGTAAATTGAACTAAGGCTTAATTCGCTTCAAGAAGAGCAAGGTCTTCGTCGTACCCCTGTCAAAGCCAAAACAGCAGCCCAAACCCAACCCAATCACGGGTTGAATCATATACAATTCTGTAACTACTTTACAACTTCTCTCAGCCCTCAACCCTAAACCATTCGAATATGACCTTGCAGTGTTGGGTCAGAACACCACGCCTCGACAAGCTTCGTGACATTGTCGGTCTGGTACCACCGGGTAGACTCCTCTACCTGTTGCCACAGAGGAATTCTAAACCCCGACCCTTTAGGACATCGGGTATAGCGCAACGTGATGTGCAATTTACACCCGCCGAAACCTCAAAAGATCTTCCACTTAAAATCCCTCACTCTGGAAGCCTGGGAAAGGCTCTCTCTTCACCGTTAAAACTCATTATGATAGGGGTAGCTAGGCAAGAGAGCCGAAATCAGCTTAAGTAAATTACTTGTTTTCGCCTATGGGATGGTTTAAGTAAGTTGCTTAGGAAGGGCAAAGCAAGGCTAGATTGTCGCCCCAGATTGACAATCTGGGGGGAGCCCAGATTGAGAAACCCAAATTCACAATCTTTTGACAACCTGAGAAGCCCAAAGGAGACGATCTGGAGGGCCCAGATTGACAATTTGGAGGCCCCAAATTGACAATCTGGTAAGCCCATTGACAATCCCGGGCCCCAAATTGACAATCTGAGGGCCCAGATTGACAACCTGGGGAGCCAAATGACAATCTGGGTCCAAATAAATTTGGCGGGCCAGGCAGCCGGCACAAGCGCGAAAACGAGAAAATCAACCAGCTTCCTAGCAAAACATTTAGGGATTAGGAACGCCCCCACAGGAACATTCGAAGAGCTTCAAAGCGGACTTGGCCGGGGCGTCAGACTACGCTGGCGAATCCAAGACCCTAAACCCTAAACCCTCAACCTTACATCCTAAACCCTAAACCCTGAACCTTAAATCCTACACCCTACACCTGAAATCTAAATCTTAAATCCTAAACCCTACACCTTAAGTCTAAATCTTAAATCCTAAACCCTAAACCTTAAATCCTAAGCTCTAAATCCTAAACCCTAAACCTTAAATCCTAAGCTCTAAATCCTAGACCCTAAACCTTAAATCCTAAGCTCTAAATCCTAGACCCTCAACCTTAAGTCCTAAGCTCTAAATCCTAGACCCTAAACCCCATTTCCCGATCAGGCCTTGGACATGATGGCACTGACCTGAAACAGTTGATGATATAAATCCTGCATGACCTGGAGGACCCTAAACTATGGGAATTATGGCATATTCCTTACTTAGGGTAATGCAGGATTTATATCATCAACCGAAGGGCTTGGGGGATCCTAGCCAGGATTCGTTGATGGGTTTAGGGTTTAGGGGTTTAGGGGTTTAGGGTGTAGTGTAGGGTTTAGGGGTTTAGGG